TTTGGGGACATGAGTACAGAGAAGCAGCACTTGACAAAGTGTATGCATTAAGTCAGATCAACCCCACCTCAGAATCTGATCATTCAATTCAGTTACTATTTCCTAACACTCCTGGACAAGCCTACCTCTCTGATTTTGGGGTCATCACAGTAGTGGAGCATACTGTTTTCCCTGCTTTATTCCTTATTTTTTTCCTTTACCTTCTGAAATGTTAACCAGTTCACTTATATTTTGTACCACAGTTCTTCTCTTTCTTTCCTCATAAATAGATGTCTGGTTCTATCTCCTATGCTCCTATACTGCTATATGCTATATTAAACATATACATTTAATTCAAAAAGACAACCCTAGATTATATATTGTTCTTGTTCTATAATCTAATCTTTTAAACAGATTTTCATTTTTTTATTTCATTTGATCTGTGCATTTTCTCACAAAATAAGTGTGACCATTTGCCTTGTTTTTTTTCTGTGTACAGAGTTTGAGCTCTGATATGGAAAGTTTTACCTGGTACAGTTAGGCTACAACTAGAGTGAGACGCTACTGGATAGCATCTCTCTCTAGCATTCACCTTCTATGTCATATAAAACATCAAATCCCAGTCGTAACGTAGATTGCATCCCAGAAAAGACAAATTCTGAGCCATCAGAGAAAGATGCCAAATGAGCCCTTAATACCCTGTTCTGACTCCAAATCAAGTTCTGTAAACTTCATGATGAGATAAACATCAAAGCAGAAAACTAGAAATGTAAGTGAACAATAGTGAAGAGGAGGAAAGAGCAGAGACTGAATGAAGTCAGAGTAGGAGAGAGGAGAGTCATAGTGAGCAGACAGCAGAGAGAGAAGAGTCAGGTAAATAGAGAGCCATATAGAGCAGAGAGAATTGGAGTTATTATTTTTAATAAAAATATTAGGAAAGTTAGTTTGACCCAAGCTTTCATCCCAGAATTCAGCTTCTTTCTCCCTTAACACTACACTATCACTTGCCCCCAAACCAGAGAGGGAGTGCAGTTGTGGGCCACGTGAAAGTGTTGTCAAGGATCTTGAAAGCCCAGGTGTGTATGAAGTGCAGCCCTATGTTATGCTCTGTCCCACAAATATCAGCACTGACCTAAAACTCTTCAAGTGAGCGGACCCCCGAGAAAGAAACTTCTGCCATGTGGTCCTCAGGGCCATGGTGCTGTTTGGTGCAACCTTTGTGAGCAGAGATGCTTTTGAGAGGTAGTGTAGCTTTGTGCTGAGGCCAGAGAAGGATTAGGATCCCTGGACCATGATAACACTTCATTGGGGGAAAGACTCTCCAGTACCCCACCATTTGTTGGAAGACACACTGAGAATAGATTCCATCAGGTTAGTCTAAAGGAAGCACATAAAGAAAATATTTCAGACAGATGAAAAACTTACCTCGTTTTTTATAAGCAAATAGATGACTTGTAATAAAGTATATTTTTCATATCTCCCACTTTACTTAGACGGTGAATTATATGAAGCCTGCATAAGACATGCAACCTATACTTTATTGAGATCTACAATGCTTTCTATCCTAGAGGTTATGGGGTGTAAGGAGTTTATGGAGAACTGGGCTGCTGCACGTGGCTGTGCTTCACATGGTTCCTGAGCAGATGCACTAGGTTAGACAAAACCACACTTCTACTGGAGCAGGGCACAGCATCGTGAAAAACAGGGGAAGTTGCTTAATTTGGTTCTTGGAAAGTTTTGGAGAAAACTGTTCCTGTGCTTTGAGAGAGAAATGCCTCTGAAGAGCTAGCTTCCCACAGTTTCTCTTTTGGAAAAACACGAGTTAAGTGTTTTCTTTACACTGCACTGGATATTTATAGTAATTCCCACAAAAGTTTGCAGATGCCTAAGGCAGGCTTTTAGCCTCAGGAGCTCCAAGGAAACCATTACTCCCAACTTTGTCCCAAAGGATGTCCAATGAGATACTTAGCTCAGACAGTCCAAGGGCAAAAGTAGACTTTGGGAACAATTAAACTTCAACTCACTATGACTTGCAGATGAGGGACCTCTCTTCCCTTCTCCATGTGATTTGCTCAGCCCATCTCTTCCAGAGGCGTGGAAGTCCCTGAGGTCAGGTACGGCTAGATAAATGAAATATGTAAAGTAGACATGAGTCTTGGCCTCACTACTTATCTGCTATGTGAATTTAAGCGTTTCTCAACCTCTTTAAATTCATATTTTCTCTTTATAAAAGGCTACAAGTAATAATCTTTATTTATTTATTTTAACATTTTTAATGTTATGTTCTCCCATTTCTAATCCGATCTGTGCGTATGAATCAGTGTACAGAAGAAGACAGGAAAGAAGGAAAAGGGAAAGTAATTCTTGAATACTTCTTATGTTTTTCTTTTTCTTTTTAAAGATGTATGCCCTTCCACTTACAGGGAAGACAGGTGTTTGCTTTTAAATAGTTGCAACCTATTAAAGATTGGATAGATTCCATTACAAAATTACTTTGTTACCTGGAAAACCATGTTACTACCAAGCCCTCTGGTGTAAGAATTACCTTCAAAATATGACATTACAAGCTAGGTGCCTTAAATGAGGATGAAGTGAGAGGTCCAGAGTAGGCATGGAAGGAGAAAGATGGGCGATGGAAATTGAGGTGGAAGAATGCCATGAATAGATTCTACCTTGCTCTGCACTTTGCTGAAGTGTCTAGTGGCAACCAACAAGCCTGTGTGTCTCAGAGAAAGTCACATGCCAACATCTGGCCTTTTTAGTTACAAATGGACTAGAAGAATCCTGAAGAAGGTTTTTAGGATGTTGCTTAAAGTCTTTGAGACTCAGATTCTCCATCAATTAAATGAGAATATGAAAACCTACTTTTATATATATATATATTGCTGAGGAAGATTTGCCCTGAGCTAACATGTGTTGCAGCCATCCTCTATTTTATAGGTGAGGCACCATCGCAGCATGGCCACTGATAGATGAATGGTGTAGGTCTACACCTCAGAACTGAACCTCAGCCACTGAAGTGGAGTGCACGGAACTGAAGCACTAGGCCATTGGGGCTGACCCTGAAGATTTACTTCAAAAAAAGACTCTATAAATACCAAAATATATAGCATATGAAAAGAAAGAATCCCTGGCTCAGAGAAAGCGCAGAGGAAATATTTGTGCTTTTGTTAAGCTTCCCTAGACACAAGAAGCTGAAGACAAGAAATGAAATAACTCGCCTAAGGTCATCTTGCTAATTAGTAACAGAACTGAGCTTAGAATCCAAATCTCTTAAGTACAAGTCCAAATCACTTTTTATTTTAATAAGATATACAGTAATGCCACAAGATTTCTTGGCCTGGAAAACAAGAACAGCCAATGAATGAGTCCATGCATTAAACTTCCCAGTCAAAAAGCCCTAAATTAATGCCCTATGTTTGAGGGAATAATTAGGCTTCCCAGTTCTGGTGAAAACACTTTGCAGAAGCTAGTTTCAAAGGAGAGCCTTAAATTGGCCAAAGGCAAGAAGCTGAGTCAATGATCTCTTGATGTTCCTTCCAGCTCTGAAGTGAACTGACCCTGAGTGCTCATTAAAATTCTCTGGAGACTGAATGACGGGATTACCTAACTGGACTCCATGTTCTGTGAAATCAACGCCAGGGTTTTACTGAAGGCACTTCACTACAGTCACTCATGGAAAATGTTGAAATGGGATGAGATGATAACTGAGGTTTGTATTATTTTAAGTTTGACCCACCTCTGTCTCACCTGTAGTTTTAGGATGAATTAGGACCTTAATTTAAACTCTGCTCATTTAAAGTTGCATCTTACTAAGATAAGGGTTCCAGTGAATAACTCAGAGACTCTGGCAGAAAATTAATATAATACATTCTTCTTTGGGTCTGAAATAGAAGATTAAGTAAAGAAAAATTGATTATTTAGTATTTTTGTCTATAATACTCAATAAATAAGCATTTTATTAGTGTTGATGTGTTGAGGACTGAAATATTTTCTGTAAATAATTTATTCCAGAGGCCATTTGGCGATCTGAGACAAACAAAACTTAATTATGGGAATGAGATGAAAGATGTGTCTAAATTTAAATGATTTTTTATTGGTTGTTATTCAAATAGAATTATTTTGACCTAGGTAGAAGACAAAGCCAAGAAAATTCAAATAACCAAGTAAACTAAAGTAGTATCCTCTCTTGAAATCTATTGTTGACTCTCGAATGTCTCTGGTTCTGATCCTCCTGTAGGGGAGGAAAGTCAGCTCACTCTATATGCAGCTTTAGTACTGGTTTCACTCATAACAGTTTCCCTCAATAGTGACCTTTGATTGTACTTGTGTAAGAGATGCTCATTGCTGACTCCCTTATGGAATCTGGCTCCTCTTCCCCTCCCATAGCTGATAGGTATGGGGTGATCACCTGACCCAAGAGAAACTCATCCATAAGCAAGCCTGGGCCAATCAGGTTTTGTCTGTCAAGAAATTCAGCAAATGGTGCAAATTCTGTAGCAGATGGTCATGGACCATGTCAAATGACGGGGTCATGTGATACAGGCACACCTACAGTTAGGTTCTGAGAATGCTCCAGTCTCTGCCCTTCCTGAGTCCCAATTGTTTTTCATCAGTCACAGACATCAGTGTCATAAATATAAATTTCTTTTCACTTGAAATAGTTTGAGTGTCTGTTCCTAATCTCTAAGATATTTTTGTCTTCCTTCCATAAGCTTTTTTTAAAGCATGAAGTGAATGGCAAGCAGTCTGATTTCTCTTTTCATTCTTTTTTGGTTATTGGATTCTAAGTAAGCATAAAATTCAACCCTTTTTAATTTACATATGAGGATACTGAGTAACCAAATTAGAGTTGATAAGTCATCTACGGATGAAAACCTTATTTCTTGACTCTCATGTTAGTGCTTTTTTTATTTCATTACATTACCTCCTATCAAAAAGACACATTCACAGAAAGTTTTTGTATAAGAAAATTTGACTTTTTTACTCTTAACTATAAAATTTTTTCGAAGTTAAATGTTTTATTTTTCATTGGAAAACATCGTTATTTTGTACCACACTTTCCTCATGGCATTTTTCACTTCCTTATTCCTGAAAGTGTAAATCAAAGGATTGAGCAAGGGAGTTAGGATGATGTAAAATATTGCCACCATTTTGTCAAAGGAGAAAGCAGTTGGAGGTCGTGCATACACAAATATGCATGGGACAAAGAACAAAACCGTAACAGCTATATGAGATCCACAGGTGGAGAGAGCCTTCCTCTGCCCTTCAGTACTATGGGTTCTCAGAGAGAGCAGGATGACACCATAGGAAAGAAGCTATAAGGACAAGATTATTATGCAGATAAACCCACTGTTGGCAGCCATCAAAAGGCCAAAGATGTAAGTGTCAGTGCAGGCAAGCTCCAGTAATGGGTACAAGTCACACATGAAATGATCGATGATATTGGGGCCACAGAAGGGCAGCTGGAAAGTAAAGAAAATTTGTATCATGGAATGCAGGAAGCCCCCTATCCAGGCTTCCCCCATTAAAATACCACAGAGCCTCGAGTTCATGATGGAAGAATAATGCAAGGCTTTGCAGATAGCCACATAGCAGTCATAGGCCATGGCAGTGAGGGCAATGACCTGCACCCCAGCAAAAGAATGCTCAGCATAAAGTTGGGTCATGCAGCCTTCAAAGGAGATGGTTTTCCTCTCACAGAGAGAGTCCACAATCATCTTTGGGGCAATGGCAGAGGAGAAACTTGCATCCAGCAAGGATGGGAAAGCCAGGAAGAAGTACATAGGGGAGCGCAGGAGTGCCGGGCTGATCATGACAGTCACCACAATTAGCAAGTTGCCCCCGACAGTTGCAATGTAGCCCAATGAAAATACAACAAATACTATTTTCTGAACATTGGGATTCTTTGAAAGCCCCAGGAGGACAAACTCAGTTACAAAGCTTTGGTTTTGCATGACTTCCAAGGGAAAGTTGAAAGCTACCACAAATTAAGAGAAAGTTATTTCAGACCAGTTTATGGTATCATAGTCATCTACAAGTGGAGGCATCCATATGAAAAATTATCTTATGTGCTTCTGTCATCATTGAGAAAACAAAATTATAAAATTGTGGAAGGTGGTTTGGGAAGTTAGGCAGAATTGAGGTGGAGATAAATTACTAAATACTTTAAAATAGCCAGAGTTTCAGTTTGGGGGAATGGAGGTATTCACATGTGGAAGAGATGAGAAATAGTTTTCATCTCAACCACCAACTCTGATCACTTTATAGTGGTTTCCTGGAGTGAATTGTTGAGAAGGACTATAAAGTCGTATCCACGTTCTGAAGAAAGGAGGGCTGCCACTTTATTAGTGGTGCCTTTCATTGCATGGAGTTGGAGCACAATGACTGGCACACCATCCCTGATCAGGAGACTCGTATCTACAAATAGAAGAAGAAATAACACCCCGTTAAAGAAGCAATTGAAAATCATGACTACTCCCCTAATTATTTCTTTAAATGTCTGAACTGAATTGGGCCTTTAAGATTAATTAATTTGTTTTTTTTATAAAAGAGAAAGCTCTATGATAAGGTGCCTAGCTCAATACTAACAGATAACAAGTACGCATGTGTTGAGTCGGTGTTTTTCTTCATTCGTTATTTAAAAATAAGAACAGAGGTTTATAAAAACATATCAATACCTAACGAAGAGTATTATCATTATGACTAAGTTCAATAATACAAGGAAAGCAATTATTCATGGCTTAGTGCGTGGGAAACAGCCCATGGTAGGTCTTATTATCCCTATTTTACTGGGAGGTAACTCATGCTTAAAGAGATAAGACCAAACAAGTAATAGATGCTGCATCTGGAATTTTAAGCAGGCTGGTTTTGACACCCAAGTCCCTCCCACTGGATCAACAGGGAAAGAAGCAAAGATTTTTCTTTTATAACAAGAACTTTAGAGCAGGATTGGCCTTTCTACAGTCTCCACCTGTAGATGGTAAAGCCTTCTGAGTCCTTTGTTCTGTTTAAATGCAGCCCCTTAATGAAAGCCAAAGAGCGAATGACAGATTGTCAACAATCACACAGGTAAGAAATAGAAACAGTGTGTCACATATAGTCAGAGTCTTGAGGCTTTATTAATTACTTGCTAATTATGTATACAATGTGGCCCAATTGATCAAGTACAACTTGGCAAAGTATATCTGTTTTGAATTTATGACTATATTGTAAAGTAGGGATGTTCATGTGTAGCCTATCCACTTATCTCACAGGATCATGATGAGGGTCAAATTGGAAAACACAAAAAAATCGCTTATGATAAGATGGTTTTACAAATTGTGGTAACTACACTCTCACTTAAAAAGCCAGCCACCTTACCCACAGAAAGTTTTTCCATGAGTCATCCAGATAATTACTTCAACTTTTGACTTCATTTTCCATAGCAAGACACAACTTCAGAGAATAATTGTGTCCTCACCTACATGTATATAACAGAAACTTATCAGCCAGACAGTGCTTTTCTGTGTGTGTACATGTATATATAATTATTGTTTGTTAAATAGGTGAATGGAAGCATAATGAGGCTTACTGTGAGAATTAAAAATAAGTTGATTTTTATAAATGCCACCTAGAGCTAACAAAAACAATTTTCAATGTTAATAAAATTAACAAAAATACAATTGCATGTACTAACATCTATCTATTTGCTTACCTTAAAATAACCATTTCCATTATGTTTCCAGGGTAGCAGGCATTCTTAAACAGTGCCAGCGCTATAAACCTCACATCCAGCTACAAGCTGGCATCAAGAAAACAAGAGCATAAAACAAACTCCATAAGGTCATGAATCAATCAACAACCATTTATTAAAATGCAAAGAATACAATAAATGATCTAGCAGTTATTAGCTTATCCTAGGGTCAAAGCAGAAAAGACAACCAAATGAAATGAGTAGGAACATTAGCTCCAGATCATACGGACCGAGGTTCAAATCCAAGCTCTTCTACTTAGTTATATTATGTTGAGGTGTCGAGGAAATGTAACTTAAAATTCTCAAATACTCGGATTGTACTTCTGTAACTTGGTAAAAATAAGAATGCCTATTGAGAGGGTTCTTGTGAGAATCAGATATGGCAATGCTCATAAAAACGTTTATGCAGTTAGAAGCACAGGAGAACATCACTATAGACAGTGAGAACAGCCTGCAGAGCCATTGACATAGAGCAGAAATGACAACGTTTTCACTACTAATTCCTGCTCCACCATGACTGATGTTGATACGTTTTTTAACAATCCTTTTATTTATTCACAAATATAAAATATTTTATGGTCACGGTGCAGAAACAGTGTTGTTTAAATATGTAACACTTGTAAATGTCCTCAATAATCCCTGAATAAATTATTGGAGCCCTCAGGCCCACATGTGTCTGCTTCTTCTTCAGGTAGCTTCATTGTACAAAGAAAGCCAAGTTGGGTAGCGAGGTGGAGAGGAAGACCAAAACTCTAAATTAATCTACTAATAAAATAATTCTTAGGCTCTCCACTTTCCTTTTCTGAAGAATTTCCAACAGTAGTACCATTTCAGAATTAAAATGTTTATTAGATATAAACAAATCAACCCTCTCTTTTTTCTGATAAAATAAATTTCCAAAATTAATGTTAAAACTTTGACAATGCTGAGTACAGTGTCCTCACAGTTTATGATCACAAATTTATGACTTTAGGTCATTTAAAAGGTAATTATCCTAAATGGAACATGTTGTGCTGGATTGAACCATAAAACAGGAAAAGGGTAGTAGTGGGAAAATTAATAAAATATGAATAAAACCTCGTGTTTCATTAAGAGTAATATATCAATGTGCATCATATAGTTTTGACAAATATAGTCATGGTGATGTAAGATGATAATATTAAGGGAAGTAAAGGGAAGAGTATACAAGAATTCTCTGTACTATCTTGGTAATTTTCCTATTAGCCTAAAATTAGTCCAAAATAAAAATTTAATGAAAAATAATACAATAATTGTTCGGTTTCTGCTATCAAAAGGCTAGCAATCCCATCTTCATCACTTAACAGACATGTGTCATTGAGAGACTGCTAAGCCTCCGAGTTCTCTCCCACGAGATAGATGCAGTAACACTTGTCCAAGCTGCCCAGCCCATAGGAGTCAATAAGACAGTTATGAATATGCTCTGTGATGTATAATTCAAAAGGAAAATTTGAAATATTGATTTCAGCATTATTTTTAAACAGTGTCTACACACACGAAATGAGCTACAAAATTAAATCCATCATAAATATAGAATACATATTTTTAAAATCATGTTTTTTAAAATTATATCAATCCTAAAATTGCAATGAAACTGCTTCATGCATGTAATTCTTTTGGAAATCATTCTAGCAAATATTTCCTGAATCATAAACATGTTTACATTCCTTATACTAGTAATCCCAATCTTAAAAATTGTTCTAAAAGTGAAATAAGGTGTAAGTTTTATAATGGAAGATGATAAATGTCATTTATAATAGTGAAAATTTAGAAATATCGAAAATGTTCAATAATAGAAAGGTGTTTATGTGAATTGGACTGCTACAAATTAATAGCACAGTGTTCTGTGAACAAAATACTGATTAATAATATGAGGACAGAGATGGTAAAGCATTTTTACAATATGGTAAATGAGAAAAACAAGAAAACTTGTGATAACTCTATCCATTTGAACATTTTAGTATAATTTTAAAATCAAGCACAGAACATATGAAAATGGTAGAGACTTTATTTTCAATTTGTACCTTGATATAATTACAAGATTTAACATTAAATCTTTTAACATTTAAAACCAACAGCATCGTATTTTCCATCATCTGAACTGATCAGAAAAAGGAGTTCGGGTTTGAGGATAATTTTATTATCTATCTTGTATAACTAACTTGCATAGGAGGAACTAATATCCTAACATAACGTAGAATCTTGTACTAAAACTTTAAACTATTGTAAACCTTGCATAAGTAGTCGTATCATGGACCCAGCCTTCCCATCTCTCACTTTGATCAGTTTTAACGGCATATACTCCTATAGGAAGCAACTAATTCTGTTCACATTTCTCCTGGAAGATCCCATGGTCTTTCCTCTCTTGATAGCTTACTCTTTAATATGCTGAAGCTGCAGCAAAGATTGCTCAGGACTCCTCACAGCCTGAACTATGGGCTCTGGGCCATCCTGTGGGGCTGTGACCTTGGGAATTTTGTCTCCCTAATATCCACAATGTCCACTATTTCCTTCCTATTCATTTTGGTAACAAAGTAATTCTAGTATCTATCCTTCTGAAAATAATAGAAATTTCAACTTTGAAGTATGTATAACATTCAAACCTATATGAGGAATCAGTTGTAAGATTATTAACTAGTGTTTTGTAGTTATATTTCAAGAAGTAAATTTTAGATGCATTTATACGTACCTATCTCCACATAACAGTCACATCTGCATATAGTTTCATAAATAAATATATTTATTAAAAATTAAAAGAATACATTAAAATCTCATTCTTTCTTTTTTTATACATAAATCAGCCATTTTTTGGTTTTGGTTTTACTTTTTTTTTTTTAAGACTGGCCCTGAGCCACCTGCTGTCAATCTATTTCTCTTCTTCTCCCCAAAGCCCCCCAGGACATAGCTGTATATTGAAGCTGTAGGTCCTTCTAGTTCTGCTGTGTGGGGTGCCGCCTCAGCATGGCTTGATGAGTGGTGCCAGGTCCATGCCCAGGATCTGAACCAGCAAAACCCTGGGCCACTGAAGTGGAGCACATGAATTTAACCACTCAGCCAGGGGCCGGCCCTAAAATGCCATTCTTAATTACTCTCCTTGTTAAGTTATTCAGTGTACGCTATTTTAGATCTAGGATTATTATTTAACTGTGCAATAAAAGAGTTTTTTTCTTTATCTATCTAGTTAAACATGTTCATTTCCACGAC